CAGGAGACTTATGCTGTTTATCCTTCAAGAAAAATTTATCAATGATCTCAAAATATTACAAACACAAACTTTGTCTCATCATTCCGGACTGTGAGATGCTGACTTACCTGCAAACACGATCTTAGCCTCATATTTCGGGACGCCCTTGACAGTGTATGCCCACTTACGAGCCAGTTTACAGGCCGTCTCTCCGCCCTCCACACCTTCAACACAAGAGCAGGATTAGAGCCACGCCTTGCATTCATCCATCACTGCTCTGGTTCTCACAGCTGTACCTGTGTTCATGGGCAGCACTTTATCGTATCCGAACAGGCCGGTGATGTACTGCTCGTAGACACCCAGCACGTCGTTGTAGAAGGCTCTGGAGGTGAGCGTCAGCCGCGAGGCCTGCGCCGTCAGCGCCGCGATGATCTTCGGGTGGCAGTGACCCTGGTTAACAGCGCTGTACGCGCTCAAGAAGTCAAAGTACCTGCGGCCCTCCACATCCCACACATGAACCCCTGCAACACGCCGCAGAAACACTGACTCACACAAACACACTCCACTACAGCGTTACAGTGTTACAGCGTTACAACGTTACAGCGGTACAGTGCTACGGCGGTACAGTGTTAAAGCGTTACAGTGTTACAATGTTACAGTGTAACGGCGGTACAGTGTTAAAGCGTTATAGTGTTACGATGTTACAGTGTTACGGCGTAACAGTGCTACGGCAGTACAGTGTTAAAGCGTTATGACATTACAGTGTTACGATGTTACAGTGCTACGGCGGTACAGTGTTAAAGCATTACAGTGTTACGGCGTAACAGTGCTACGGCAGTACAGTGTTAAAGCGTTACGACATTAATATTACAACGTTACAGTGCTACGGCGGTACAGTGTTAAAGCGTTACAGTGTTACGATGTTACAGTGTTACGGCGTAACAGTGCTACGGCAGTACAGTGTTAAAGCGTTACATTACAGTGTTACGATGTTACAGTGTTACGGCGTAACAGTGCTACGGCAGTACAGTGTTAAAGCGTTACATTACAGTGTTACGATGTTACAGTGTTACGATGTTACAGTGTTACGGCGCTCCAGTGTTATGACATTACATCGTTACAGTGTTACGGCGCTCCAGTGTTATGACGTTACATCGTTACAGTGTTACGGCGCTCCAGTGTTACGACGTTACAGTGTTACGGCGCTCCAGTGTTACGACATTACATCGTTACAGTGTTACGGCGCTCCAGTGTTACGACGTTACAGTGTTACGGCGCTCCAGTGTTACGACATTACATCGTTCCAGTGTTACGGCGCTCCAGTGTTACGACGTTACATCGTTACAGTGTTACGGCGCTCCAGTGTTACGGCGCTCCAGTGTTACGACGTTACAGTGTTACAGCGTTGCAGTGTTACGGCGCTCCAGTGTTACATCGTTACAGTGTTACAGCGCTCCAGTGTTATGACGTTACAGTGTTACGGCGCTCCAGTGTTACATCGTTACAGTGTTACAGCGCTCCAGTGTTATGACGTTACAGTGTTACAGCGCTCCAGTGTTAAGATGTTACAGTGTTACAGCGTTGCAGTGTTACGGCGCTCCAGTGTTACGACGTTACAGCGTTGCAGCATTACGTGTACGCCTGCAGTGCGTGTGATGTGGGGAACGCAGCCGGACACATGCAGACTTCAGTGCTTTTGCACTCATTTAGCCCACAAACCGGCGACACTGGCTCAAGCTGCTGCTTTATAACAAATCAAAAGCAAAATATGAAAAAGAAGCAAAATAGACAAAGCAATAGCAAACTACTGGAGATACAGAACATGCTGCGAATGTGAGGCAGAGATGCAGGCAGCTTCAACAACATTTTTATTGCGTATAACTTCTAAATAATGGAGGTAACGGTGACTTTTTATCTCACAAGTCTGACTCTTTTTCTTGCAACTCTTGAGTTTTTTCAGAAGTGCGAGATGTACACTCAGAATTCTTAAAAAAAAAAAAAAGTCTTGAGAAATTGTGAGAAAAAAGTCAGAAAAGTCAGATATAAACTCTGAAATCTGACTTTATATCCTGTAACTCTGACTCTTTTCTAGTAATTCTGACTTGTCAGAAATGAGTTTACATCTCACAATTCTGATATTTCTCTAAATTCTGAGAACAAGTCAGAATCGTGAGAAAAAGTCAGCTTTGTGAGACATAAACTTGCAATTATGAGTTTATAACTTGCATCTGCGAGACAAACTCATAATTCTGAGAAAAGAACTCAGTATGAGTACAGTATGAGCTCGACTGTGGATGAGGAACACTCCCAGAATGCTGTGCGCAGGCCTACCCTCTCCTCGCTCCAGAGCCACGGGCAGCGGGTGGTAGTTATGAGCGCCGTATCGATCCTCGCGAGTGTAAACCTTCTCTGACGTCAGCGCACGCTCCGCAGGTTCGGCTCTGGACGCCGCCGAGGAGGATGTGCGTGTCCCAGAATGCACTGCACGGCTCAGGGCGGGCATCACGCCTCTCATCAGACTCTTCATGCTGTTCATGACTGTTCACACTGAGATACAATCATTCAGTCACACGCTTCACTCGCATCTTTAGTTCAAATATTCTTTTTTTTTTTTGCATGACTGGACCTTAATATAGGTTTATAGTGGCTTATTTTGGGGTCAGGAGGACATAGAGTATAAAAACTTTGTAACGTCAAATATAAATTCACTATAAAAATGGTGGTAATAGATCAATTTATAAACAATTTTAGTTAATTTAAGTAATTGTTTAAGTTAAATTTAAAATGTAATCACGTAATAATAATACAAATGGCCTTTTTTGGCAAGTTGTGTGATATTCCTTAAAAAAAAATTATTTAATAAAATGCATTATTATTGTTATTATAACTTAAGAACTGTGCAATATATTTCTGTCATAATTTGTTCAAGTTAGACCGACATTGTATTATTAGATGAATAAATATAACTGTAGGATTTCATAAAATAAATAAAATTGACTAAAACATTTACAAAATGAATTCACTTTCTTGATTCATGTTTCTGATGTTTTATGAATAATTCATCAGTGACGTCACTCTATTAGTTATCAACGATGTTCATATGGAGACACTTTTTACCATCTAATTTAATTCCTTATGAGGAAAATCAAGACCTGCCCTATTTATTCACTTTTAATATTCTGTTTCCAATATTACAGAAGTAAAATGATTGTGAATCAGCAATGGTGAAAAATGTATTTTTCTTGACGACGGCTGTATAACTGCATAACTATATAAGAATGAATATATAAAGCTGTATATAAGAATCACACAAGTGACATTAAACAAGGGTGTTTTCTCATAAACATCCCATAATGATCAGAACAGGATGATCCACAGTCGTTTTTCAGTTGAAACCTTCAGTCTGAGAAAGAGTTTATTTGGAAAACATCAGTGACATTAAAGAGAGGAAAATCAAATCTTCATATTTCATATATTTGCATGCGAGCTCTCGTTGTACAGCTCTAGGTTTTAACTTCTGGTTTGAGGCACAAAACTCTGGCGTGTTTTATGAGTTTGAGCTTCAACATTAATCTGAATGGAAATAAAATTTAAATTATATAGCAGCCATATTAAAATATGAAGTTATAATAATATGAAACCTCATATAACACAGATGAAGTGAGCTGTGCTGGAGTCAGTGGAGACGGACACGTGGCTCTGGATCATCAGTGCATGAAAGAAACTGATGAACAGACAGAAACCAGCAGACCGGCCTGAGTTTCTCATTCAGACGCTCACAATGAGCCGCAGATCAGCAGTCTGAGCTCAACCTGTCTCACTCATAATCATAATCATAATCATGATCCTGACAGATCACAGAGACCTGCTGATATCAGATCAGCACGTTTCATCAGTCTCTCACTGCCATCAATTATTAAACCGATTCCTTAGGAAACTTTCCACTAAGAGTCACTTATTTATACAGTCACGTGACACGTTAAATGCAGCCTGCAGCGGTGATTGGCTGAAAACTCACTGCCCTCGACACGCCCACTGCATGCGCTGCCAAGGGTTAAATAAAGACTCTCTCACACACACACACACACACACTAGCTCTCTCACACACACACACACACACACACACACAAAGGTTTTTAGAATGAATAGTTACACAACAGTCAAGAGAAGTTACCAATAAAGTAACAATTTAAATACATTTAAATATTACTAACATGAAGTAACTGAATATCACTGAATAAACTCCCACCGAATCTGCATCTTCCTCACCTTCATCAGTCTAACCCTCATCATCTTCCTCTTCCTAACTGCTGCGCCTCATTAACATACTCGTGTTTATGCATATTCATCAGCCCTCGCTGCATTATGAATAACCGCGCGGTGTCTGTGTGACCCGTATGTCTGTGTGTCTGTGTGTGCTTTACCTGCTGCGGGTCCGCGCGGATCTGTTCCTCCGGCGAGTCTCACGCTGCCTCTAGACGGTTATTCAAATGCACGCACACACGTCACGCTGCGTCATGACGCAACCGGCGTCAGCGCTGTGAATGGTTAACCATTTTCTGCATACATGTAAAAACATTCTGATACTGTAATAGTTTTCTTGCGACGATAAGTGATTAATCTGAAGTGACTGAGTGTGTGAACAGACTCAAAGTGTGACGCAACACTAGTTATTCATCTCCCCTGATATAATTTTGGCCAAATATTGCCTAAAATACATTGTCACTGTATTCTACACAGTAATCATTTATTAATTTGGCAGACAGTAAAGCAATTTAAAGTGCTTGAAACATACATTTTCAATGTTATTTCAAATGTAGTTTGGGCAAAGTTATACATTTAAAAATAAATTATTTATATATATAAGTATTATTATTATTATGATAATCATCGAACACATACGAAAAACATCCTTGTGTATTTTATTTTATTTTTTTTATTTTATTTTATCTTTGGTCAGCAGCATCTGCGCGCGCTACCAGCATTAAGTGGCTGAACTTCATTTCCCAGAAGCCCCTGCGCCGCGCATGCGCAGTCGCGTTCGCAGCATGGCCGCAGGCAGTAGTGTGGAGTGGCTGAAGAGTGTGAAAGCAGTGATTTGAGACATGTGTGGAGTTCTGAGAGGGAGGAGGACAGGCGACACACGGATCTGGAGAAGCAGTGAGGAGGTGAGAACTAGCGCGCGGTTTACAAATAAAGTTATTCATTAAATATTGCAGGACACTTTCATTGCTTTGCATAATAATAACAACATATAATAATATATGAATTTCAATACAGTTGACCATGTATTGACAAGAGTCTTGCATAACAAACAGATCGAACAGATTTGAAATGGTTGCATACTACCATACTTACCGCTCTCTCTCTCTACATACTGTTCATAGTATGCTAACTTTCTGTATGCATACTACATTAGCCAAAATCTTAAGTATACATCCCTTGGCTGAATTGGGAAACTAGTCTTTCTATTTCTGCTATATCTTTATTTGATATGTGACATGATGTGATTTAGTATGCTATTCTGTACTGAGTATCCCACAATTTTCAGTGTGCTGAATGAAAGTAATGTCAGCTGTCATCATTCTTGACTCATTATTTGATCAGACAAATAAATAAACAATGTATAAAAATATAAAACAACCCTCGCATAAACACTAAGTATGCAGTATGCACTATATGTTGTGCGGTATGAGTAGTATTGTGTGCTCTGAAGTGTGTGTGTGTGTGTGTGTGTGTGTGCGCTGAAGTGTGTGTGTGTGTGTGTGTGTGTGTGTGTGTGTGTGTGTGTGTGTGTGTCAGGCTGATGGATTCCGGTCTGACGGTGCGTTTCTGCACTAATGAGACTCAGAACACGAGTGAGAGGTTCTACAGAAGCACGTGTGATGGGCTTCGACATCAGCGTCAGTCACGTTTTCTCCCCCCCCATACACACACACACACACATTAATTGAATATTTGTTGATTTGATGTGTGTGTGTCAGGTTGTGATGATTGGTGATGATCTGCTCAATGATGTCGGTGGAGCTCAGCGCTGCGGGATGAAGGGTCTTCAGGTCAGAACCGGCAAATACAGGTCAGTGTGTGTGAGAGTGTGTGTGTGAGAGTGTGAGTGTGTGTGTGTGTGTGTGTGAGAGAGAGAGAGTGTGTGTGTGTGTGTGTGTATGTGTGAGAGAGTGTGTGTGTCTGTGTGTGTGTGTGTGTGAGAGAGAGAGAGTGTGTGTGTGTGTGTGTGTATGTGTGAGAGAGTGTGTGTGTCTGTGTGTGTGTGTGTGTGAGAGAGAGAGAGTGTGTGTGTGTGTGTGTGTATGTGTGAGAGAGTGTGTGTGTCTGTGTGTGTGTGTGTGTGAGAGAGAGAGAGTGTGTGTGTGTGTGTGTGTATGTGTGAGAGAGTGTGTGTGTCTGTGTGTGTGTGTGTGTGAGAGAGAGAGAGTGTGTGTGTGTGTGTGTGTATGTGTGAGAGAGTGTGTGTGTCTGTGTGTGTGTGTGTGTGAGAGAGAGAGAGTGTGTGTGTGTGTGTGTGTATGTGTGAGAGAGTGTGTGTGTCTGTGTGTGTGTGTGTGTGAGAGAGAGAGAGTGTGTGTGTGTGTGTGTGTATGTGTGAGAGAGTGTGTGTGTCTGTGTGTGTGTGTGTGTGAGAGAGAGAGAGTGTGTGTGTGTGTGTGTGTATGTGTGAGAGAGTGTGTGTGTCTGTGTGTGTGTGTGTGTGAGAGAGAGAGAGTGTGTGTGTGTGTGTGTGTATGTGTGAGAGAGTGTGTGTGTCTGTGTGTGTGTGTGTGTGAGAGAGAGAGAGTGTGTGTGTGTGTGTGTGTATGTGTGAGAGAGTGTGTGTGTCTGTGTGTGTGTGTGTGTGAGAGAGAGAGAGTGTGTGTGTGTGTGTGTGTATGTGTGAGAGAGTGTGTGTGTCTGTGTGTGTGTGTGTGTGAGAGAGAGAGAGTGTGTGTGTGTGTGTGTGTATGTGTGAGAGAGTGTGTGTGTCTGTGTGTGTGTGTGTGTGAGAGAGAGAGAGTGTGTGTGTGTGTGTGTGTATGTGTGAGAGAGTGTGTGTGTCTGTGTGTGTGTGTGTGTGAGAGAGAGAGAGTGTGTGTGTGTGTGTGTGTATGTGTGAGAGAGTGTGTGTGTCTGTGTGTGTGTGTGTGTGAGAGAGAGAGAGTGTGTGTGTGTGTGTGTGTATGTGTGAGAGAGTGTGTGTGTCTGTGTGTGTGTGTGTGTGAGAGAGAGAGAGTGTGTGTGTGTGTGTGTGTATGTGTGAGAGAGTGTGTGTGTCTGTGTGTGTGTGTGTGTGAGAGAGAGAGAGTGTGTGTGTGTGTGTGTGTATGTGTGAGAGAGTGTGTGTGTCTGTGTGTGTGTGTGTGTGAGAGAGAGAGAGTGTGTGTGTGTGTGTGTGTATGTGTGAGAGAGTGTGTGTGTCTGTGTGTGTGTGTGTGTGAGAGAGAGAGAGTGTGTGTGTGTGTGTGTGTATGTGTGAGAGAGTGTGTGTGTCTGTGTGTGTGTGTGTGTGAGAGAGAGAGAGTGTGTGTGTGTGTGTGTGTATGTGTGAGAGAGTGTGTGTGTCTGTGTGTGTGTGTGTGTGAGAGAGAGAGAGTGTGTGTGTGTGTGTGTGTATGTGTGAGAGAGTGTGTGTGTCTGTGTGTGTGTGTGTGTGAGAGAGAGAGAGTGTGTGTGTGTGTGTGTGTATGTGTGAGAGAGTGTGTGTGTCTGTGTGTGTGTGTGTGTGAGAGAGAGAGAGTGTGTGTGTGTGTGTGTGTATGTGTGAGAGAGTGTGTGTGTCTGTGTGTGTGTGTGTGTGAGAGAGAGAGAGTGTGTGTGTGTGTGTGTGTGTGTGAGTGTGTGAGTGTGTGAGAGTCTCTTTGTGTGTGTGTGAGTGTTAAAGCTGCTGTAATAGTGTGTGTTGGAAGGCACAATAGAAATCGAGCTGAATGAATTTCCTGCAGGTGGCGCTGCAGTCCAGTGAGTGCAGTCTCTGCAGCAGATTCTTACACTGACAACAAAATATAATCAACAAAATGACACAAATACTGTTTTCAACAAGAAACAACAAATCAGAATTGGATCAAATCCAAGACTGACAAAAACTAAAGAAACAAATAGAAAAAGGAATAATTTATTTATAAATCATTATTAAATAATAAATAAGATAACTTATATTAATTAATTTATACGCTTATTCATCATTATTATGTTATTAATCAAATAATACAAAACAGTAGTTTGCAAATACCACAGGTTATATTTTCTAAGGTTAGTGTAAAATCGTTTTCAGCCGAAATGATCATGTGACGTCACACTCTATCCAGTCACATGACCTCCCCAGAGCTCCTCCCCCAATCAGAACATCTGAACCCTCTATAAGTCCCGCCCCTTCCTCTGGTCATTTAATGGACCTGAGAGCAGTGCTCATTCCCAGCATGCAGTGCGTCTGTGTGGGAAGTGAGTTTGACACATCATTAGGCTGTCCGCAGCCGCCCATAAACATGTAAACATCTGAACACGCCAGCACACAAGCATCAGGCCTCGGATCGTTCACTGTAACTGTGATCCATCACCTGAACCAGCAAGGGTTAATGCGCTGGAACTGCTGCTAATGTCTCCAGATTAGAGTTTGTGTTTAATAGTGAATACAGGGACCAGCTCAGATCTGATGTCACTCTGTCAGATCCAGTGACGGTCATCTGGGACGTCATGGAGCCTGTGATTGGTCAGACTCCGGTTGACCTTTGACCTCACAGTAACTCTGGTTCTTTCCTATGGAAGCATATAGGTAGCGAAATTCAATTTAAAATGCAATCATTTCGCAACTTATAAAGCATTCAAATTTGCATGCAATTTACATATTAAGACTACTGTTGGAAATGGCAAATGTACATTTTATAATTTAATTTTCATTTTACTTTTGCACGTATGGGTAATGGAAAATGTAAATTTAAATACAGAAATACAATGCCATTTTGAATATTGCATTTTAAATTGAATTTCGCTACCTATATGCTTCCATACTTTCCTGCGGTGTGTCTCTGACTGGTGTTTTCTGTCCCGCAGGCCGAGCGATGAGCACACCCGAGCGTGAGAGCAGACGCTTACATGCACGACCTCGCGGCCGCCGTACTGACCGATCACTGACCGATCAGGACATGGCACTCGTGATTGATGACGCACTGACTGTGAAGCTGCACTGACACATGAAGAAAACTGTGAACATGTGCAATGCATTATAAAGGTATTCATAATGTACAGGATAATGCATTGTATCTTTGCAGAAATAAATGTAGCCAAAGTTAAAATGCATTATATTCATGTGTTTTAATGCATTGCACTTCCTAAAGGTGTAGCAATGACCAGATGAGTATTATAACTGTGGTTACTATTATGAGATCACGCAATGCATTACAAGGCAGAAATAGTGCATTAAAACTACTTTATAATGCATTATATATAAAGGCTTTAGATTAAGTGTTACCAATAGTCTTTTTGTGTATTTCCATGAATGCTAATCCTCCTAATATTCACACTATGGTTGTTTTGAATTTACATTCACCATGATCAATAATCGTGAATTTGCTGATAAATAAATGTGCCTTAACTGTCGCACTGCAAACTAATCTTCTTCGTATCTCGTTATCTTAACGCAGAATATCTCGTGATGTTTGCTGGCGCTCCGGTGACTGCTTCATGCGGTTTGGTGTTTGAGCTTCGTTCAGGACAATAGCGTGATGCTGGCAGACATGAAGCGCTGCAGAACAAACAGCATCACGGAGATCTGGAGCAGAGGTCGAGGCACACAGACGTCTTTGTGTTTCTTACAGCTGTGCCCGTTTCACAACACGCTCCACTCACTTTGGTCTTCCAGTCGAGGTGTAATAAAGCTCTGATGCTGATGTAAAGCAGACGCTTCTATTCTAACGCAGCAGATTCTCCAGGCTCGTTTACGATCATATCTGCTCATCTAAACATTAAGGCCACTTTTAACCCTCGCACATAAAGCTACAGTGAAATAAGCTGCTGTTAGACTCTAACAGTCGTTCATCCATGTTGTTATATTTAATTTGGCCCGATGGGTTCACACACACACACACTCTCTCACACACACACACACACTCTCTCACACGCACACACACACACTCTCTCACACACACACACACAGACTCACTCACTCACTCACA